CTTTTTTGAGACCCAGGTCATCCAACTTGTGTAATGTGCATTGGCTGCATCAAGCCAAGATTCCTGACAAGGGTTGTGCTCAATCTTGTTTCTTTGTTTTGTTGTTTTGAGCAATGTACGCGTACAAAGCGTTTGTACGCGTACTTTCCTCATCGCGCAATAAGACATGACACAAATATATCAAAGTATGACACGACTATAGTCCCATCAGGTTATTTTGATAAAAACATTGTAGGACTATAGTCCCATCAGTTTATTTTTTGAGTAAAACACTGATACAACAAAACTGATAGAGATTGACAGGGCTAAAGCCTTTACATGGGCATTTACACAGACTAAATTCATACCGGCTTTTATGAGTTTGATAATTGGAACATTACAGGGATGACATTGACATTAGCCAAATATCTAGTTTTACATTGTATACGGTGGAAGTGAAGGCATCACATGTTGTTCAATAAGAAGTATAGCTTAATATATGGAAAGTGTTTAAGAAAACTATTGGAAGCAAACAACGAAAAATATTTTGTTACAAAACTCCTTCAATCATTCATTCATTCATTCATTAGGTCAATTATGACCAGATTGTTAATGAACTATGGGAAACCGATCTTACTCAAGATGACAAAAAGAAAATAGGAAACATCACAACACCGCACAGAAGTTACAGTTTCACACTTTGAGGGAGGCTTGCCATTACCAGAGGGAGTTTGGAGGAAGGGTTTGCGCCATACAACAAGAAATAGGAAAAAGAAGAAGAAACAAACACACAGTACCTATTGCATCTTAAACACAACCAATCGAAATGAATTTTTCAATGGGCCTAGAGATATAAAAGAGCTGCTTCTTCAATATCATAACTTTTCAACGAATGCAGCGTAATCATTTTTTCAGAAAATGATATTAAGGTCTATTCAGTGGAGAGTGATGCCTTCAGGATCCATGCAGACGGTTTGACTAGAGTGATGGGTGAACCAAATCATGTTATAAAATCATATCAGACTGGAATATTGAACTTTGAAGAAGGCATAGGCAAGTGGAGACTGACAAACAAATCAACCAATTTCCAACCAATAAGTACATATTTTGATATAATGACTTAATTGAAATTCCAAAACTAGAAAATGAACAAACAGAGGTGGTGGATGAATGGGACAACCCCGGAATATGTAAGCAAGTTGAAAAACAAAACCCCTGCGTGATCAGATCAAAATTTTCTGGATCGAGTTACACAGGTC